AGGCCGTCTGGGACGATCCCGCTTGGTGGACTCGTCAATTGAAGCAGGCAGCCAAGGCTTTTCAGGCTGACTTGGAGCACTGGGTTGCCCTGCCCAAGACGGATCGTGAGGTGCCAGATGAACACGATGATGATGTACAAGGTCATGAGGCTACGGGTCAGGTTTTCCCGTGCGACGTGTGTGAGGCCATGTTTCCTTTGCGGAAACACCTGGCGGTGCATGAGTCTCGTATGCACGGGCTCATCTCTCCGACACGGCTTTTGGCCCCAGGGCCTACGTGCGTCGCCTGCCTTCGCCACTACGGCACGGTGGAAAGGCTGCAATACCACTTGAAGCGTGCCGGTGACTGTCTTTATCGGTCAGCATGTCTCATGCCGCCTCTTACCATGCCGGAAGTCGTTGACGTGGAGCGCACTTTCAAGGCGTATAAGAGGCGAGTCACTCGAGGACACTGGGAGGATTTTCACACGCCAACAGCGGCATGTTTTGCTGCTGGCCCGAAGCAGCTTACTGCCAGTGAGCGTGTGGAATGTGAAGGTGAAGGCATGCTGTTGAGCACTCTTTCTAGGCTCTTCCATCCTTGCCCAGTCTTCCTGCGACGCATAGAGGCATTCAACGGTGATCGCTCCCGAGAGGGTCCGCGACGTACCGCGGCCCGCTTCTGGGATCGCCGACCCCGTTAGTATGCGCTCTTTTTCAGCCCGTTTCACCGGCATGTGAATTTAGGTTTAGAGGACGCGCCCACAGAGGCTCTGGAGTCCATCAGAAGAAGAAGTACTATTTTGGGGGCTCCTTGTTAATGTTATAGTTCTAGTATAATCCACCCCAGAAACCCTATTCTACCTATGAAGGCTTCTCCATTACTCGTAGGTATCCGGGTCATTGTTGGGGGGGACTCCGGATGCAGGGCCTCAGGGTTTAGGTTTCCGGTCCCAAGGCCCGAAACTCCCAGCTATGGTTGGGTTTAGGGATTGCGTTTAAGGACTTATATATAGAAACTATAAAAAAGGAACCCTAAAAATGGGGGGTTATTTGGGGTCGAAGGTGGGTCGAGGGGTTTGGGGGTGAAGGATCCTGGCCCGAAGGCAAGACAAGCTAAGCACGAGAGACCCATGCTTCAGCCCGACCATCTGATGGGTTTAGGGCCAGTTTAGGGTTTTAGGGTTTTTGGGTTTAGGGTTTAGGGTTTTAGGAACCCCTGAAACTTTCAGCCTTTAGCAGGTGTTGTGTAGAACATAGCACGCAGTACCCTATGCCTAGCCTGCCAAGCTTTGCCCTGCGCCCTAAACGCTAGTTACACCCGAAACCCAGCAACCCGAAGCTCTAAACGCTAGTAAACTGCCGGTCTGTAAGCCCTAAACCCGAAAGCTTTCATTACAGATGCTTGCGCGAGTCCCTTTGCCCTTTGCGTTCCTGTCCCCACTTCATCGGTGATTTGCGGTGTTTTCGATTCATACCGTCTCCAAGAATTCGGCATACTCCCCAGAGACTTTGCAATAAATTCGGCAGCATTGCATCCGGAACGTTTGTCCCATATCCACCACGGTAAGCCAGTCGACCCAGCTTATGGTGTGGGGTGTGGGGGTTTTGGGCTTTGCCATCATCTTGAGCTTCGGGGCTGAAAGCCCTGAGGAGCCCGGCACCTGCAAACCGAAGCCTGCTAAGCCAACCGTGTCCCCTGAACCCTAAGGCCCTAAACCTCTACCTCTACCTCTCGCTCTCTCTCTTTCTCTCTCCCTCCCAGGCAGAAACCCAAAACCTGAAACCCTTTCAGATGTCGGCTTCTGAGGGGGTGAGGCTATGGGGTCACAATTGCCTGCAAAAAAACACCCCTTCGGGTTGTAAATTGCAGTGTTTCGCCTTCCGCCTGCCTTCTCCCAGCGGAAGGCCCTGGGTGGCATTCGCACATCTTCGCTCTGAAGCCTGCCCTGGGGAAGTTCAAGGATGGGTTGGACGATGCTAAGCAGGGGCTCATGCCTCCGGCTTCTATGGGGCCGACACTCTATGTAAGTCCTAAGCCAGAAACCCGAGGGCCCTAGGAACACATCTATAAAGCCCTCCTAGCGACCAGAAGCTGTGGTTTGAATGGCAGCCCCTCATGTTGCTGACACTCCCGTTATGAGTTTCCAGTATCGCAAGTCTCCGATAATCCCAGGATGGCACTAAGACCCTAAGAGGCCCCAACATCCACATACCGGCGTCGAAAATTGGGTTTAGGGTTTAGGCTTAGTATATCGCAATCACCAGTGGCTTCCATACAGGCCCCCTCATTTTGCAGGTCGCAGAGCCCTTCCGCCCTAGGTTTCTGCGACCATGCTTTCTGCAGTCCCTGCTAGTCCCTCAACTCCCAGCCCTCACTATCCCAAAGGAAGGGAGAAAGAGAGCGAGAGAGCGAGCTTTGATTAAAGGCACGGGCTTCGGGCTATCGTCCCCCCGCCCTGCTTAGTCACCCCTAAGTAGAGCCTTTAGCCCTGTCCTCGTTCGACGATGACGAGAATTCCAGTGGCAGTCTTGGATACGATGTACCTGGTCAGCAATTCAACAGGAGCCTCCATAGTTGCAGTAGGGTTCTGCCTTATCATAAGAAAGTTACATAGGGATTGCAAGGGAACAGTATTTCTGCCCTCTTCGATTCGATATTCCCCCCCAAGTGGTCAACTTAAACATCCTGCTGCAACCCGCGTGCCGGCATAGTCCTAGTCGGGCAGGAGGCAAGAAACACGGCAACTCAAAGCCCCATTCCAATCATTAAGGCTACTATATGTATTAAGGCAACCTCCTACAATGCAAGCGTAAACGCGGAACCCGGGAGAGTGATGTCGACAAGCCTGAAGCTTCACGCAGATAGTTGTTGAGGTAGGCATTAGGGTTGGAGATTCGCAGCATTCGGGTTTAGGGTTTGGGGATGACGTTGCGCACAGCAGTATTCCTTGAGACCCTGTCAGGAGATCATGGACTTCACGCTGGGCAAGCCGCAAGCCGTCCTGATAAGACCCTGAACCCTTAACTCCAGAGGCCCTAGATTACTAAATTAAAACAGCCCGGTTCGGGGCCGTCTAGTCAGAATTTGGAGCCTTCCTACTGTCTGCACGAGCTGCCGTAGATGTCAAAGTTCGGGGTTTAGATTTGAGGGCTTGTGGCACAGTTTTGTGTCATAGTAACGAGTTGTATTCTGGAATGCTTACTTAAAGAACAGAGCACCCACCCTGTCAATACTCTGACGGCTGCTGAAAGGAGTGTGTTATCTCGGTCAGATTCATGATGAGTAACTCTTGCACCCCGCAAACTAGCACCCAAAACCCCTAGGCCCTAGACACTGAACGGCTAAACTTCCTCAATCCTTCAGCCGACAGCCCCGCATGCTACTCCAGAGCCCGTAATATTTTAATATAGAAGCTGGACTAGTTCCCAGTACAACCCCGTAGGCCCTTAATGCAAAAGTGCGTATAGTTTCCAATGCCATTCCTTCGGGCTCCTCACGTATCATCAGAGTATCATGATGTTATAACCCCCTCAAAGCCTGTTGTAATCAAGATGGCGCTATACTCAAGCCGGAACTTTTAAACCCGAAGCCCTAAACTCTTTAAGTCTAACGCCAAATCGCAAAGCCCCCCCGGGAATGGATTCATCGGTTCCGGCCTCGGAAGACAAGGGCCGCGCGGGTTTCCTTTTGGGCTCAAGGGGGCCTCCCTCTAAAACCTTAGGGTGGCCGTGGACCTATCGAACTGACTCCATGTCATGGCCGAGGAGAGGGATTTTGGGTTTGAATAGGGGTGCATTAAAGGCTTTAAGGGGTCCCTAAACCCTAAACACTAAGCCGGCTTATGCAAAATGCAACATCTACGATTTTGTCCTGTAGTCTCTTGACAAGGTAACACGACAGGCTTCTTTTCGGTGAAGATGGGGTTTAGGGTTTAGGTTTAGGAAAAAGGAGTCTGCTGAGGTTTTCGGGTTTACCTAGTCCTGCAGGTGAGGGTGTAGAGTTTACAGTCAAGGTTCAAGGGGTTTCTTGTAAGGCTCTAATGAAATTAATCATGTTTTCAACTGACAGGAACCGACAGGCCAAGTCACAAAGCTCTTCAACCCCACCACCCTAAGCCTTATTACAAGTTCTAGAAAGGTCTATATACTTTATCGAAGACTTATAGAAGGCCTATATACCCTAAACTGACCTGTAGCTTCCTTTATTTCAGGGTTTAGGGTTTGGGGCAGGACAGCCGCAGGCTGGGCGCCGGCGCTGATAGGCCAGATTGCCTACAGTCACAGTGCCCCAACAAACCCGGAAGCTCTTCTTTCAAGCGCATGGGGGGGGGGGGTAGTTCTCGAAATTAGGACGAATTAGGATCCCTTTTAGGGTCCTTTTTTTAATTAGGATCCCTTTTAGGGTCCTTTTTAAACTGGGATCCCTTTCAGGGTCCTTTTTTAAATAGGGGTGCCGTATTAGATTTTTAAATAGGGGTGCCGCAATAGATTGGGGACCCACGAGTCGGGACCCTGAGAGAGAGAAGGACCCAAATCTTGCAATGCCTGCGGGAGTTCGGGGCCGGTCCTTCGATGTTAGCTCGTTGCTCAAGTTTAGGGTTTAGGGTTTAAATCAAGCGGAGTTGTTTTTTTCCGTTTTCTTACATGCTTACAGATTCCTGTCTGTATTTCTAGATGTGTCTCATGAACCCTAAACCCCCCAAATTCAATCCTAAATCCTAAACCTATCTAGCCGGGCGTAGGTTCGCGTAGACAGACAGGATAGCGAGGCAAAGGGAGGGAGGGAGACGAGTCAGAAGCACATATGGTTGTTCTCTAAATTAGAATATAGTACGGCACCCTTATAGAAAGGACCCTGAAAGGGAGAACTGCCCATATGTGATATCAGCAGGCGCAGCCAGGCATCAGGCACAATTGTACATTCCGGCGCGCATGGGCTACAGCTCGAGAGCCGCTAAGACTAGGAGTGCACGCGCTTTCCTTGCAGTAGCCCGGGTCACTTCTGAAGGAGCTCGTTCATGATGACATCTATGGCATCTACGAGCGACCTCGGCAAAGCGGAGCAAGGAGAGATGGCAGCTGGGGAGGGAGGCCCTCACCCCAGCGCTGTGGGAGCACCTCCGCTCACAGCCCCAACAGCCTCTGTCTCCACACTGCCCAAGGCGTGGCGGGTTGTCTTAAACTACCGTCGAAGCGTCATGTGCTTCGCCTTCCTCAACCTGATCACCATCGTGCTGGGCGTGAGCTTCGCTGTGAACGAATCCATCAGATTTCCCGGACATCCCAGTTGGGGCACTTCGCCAGTGATTGTCTTGGGAGTCGTCTTCATGCTCGGCCCCCTCTGTGGCTTCATAGGCGCCAGCTACCTCAGAAGCGGACTCGCGACTGTTTACCTAGGCTTCACTTGTCTGCAGACTGCAAGCCATATTGTGTTTGCAGTCGCTACATTGTGGCTCTCGGCGATCTTCTTGGCGTTCATCCAGTGCTGGGTGATGATGATCGTGTCGACTTTCTGCTACTCTTTGTGCATGGTGCCACTTGAGAATCGCGGCCAGCTCTTGGAATTGAAGGACAGGTGAAAATGGCATGCTGGTAGTTCCTGCCAGGATCCGCATGCTTCACCCAGAACTCGATCGGGTGCACGTGGCAGCTCGACTAAAGACGTCTCTTGATTTTGTGTCCAGCAGCTTGACAAAAGGTCAGCAATTAGCAGCGCGCCCGCGGACTGGCATAGATCCCTAGTTCTTCCAGCCTGCTTGCGCCAGTAACTTAGAGTAGGGTTGTGGGGGTTCCTTAATATCACTATAGTATAATATGCCCCCGAACCCTACTCTAATTATTATAAGGGCCCTTTTCGATGTACAGCTTTCTGCCCCACTCGGCTTCAACAAGTTCAGGGGCTATCTCTTGCAGAGGCAGTTGCGTGCTATTGGCATTTGCAGCGCACGCGCGCCCCGTCTTTCAGTTAGTTATTGAGGCGGTGCAAAAAAGCTTGCATGCATGCTTGCATCCACACCCGCAGCTGCTTGCGAAGGCATGTCGTGTATATATAGAAGCCCATATTTCTAATTACCCACCTTATTCCTCAGGTTCCTCATTGGAATCGCAGCATAACATACACCCCACATGACCCCAAACCCTTATTCTAATGTTTAAACCCAATTATCAACGCCCCTACATTTGTCCGGAAGGCCTCCTCGCAGTGACCGCGCGCTGTACCCAGGCAACTGAGGCCGTGGCATCTGCCTAAAGCCGAAAGCGCAAGAGCTCTTAAGGGTTCGGGTGAGGGGGGGGCCCAAAAAAGTAGAAGTAGATCCTTCGAGGGCTCCTAAAAGGGGTTTTTCCATAAGATGTAGTACAGTGAAAACCCTGTTTCAGAACCCCGTTGGGCGAGACTAGCGTACCCCAAGGTTCTTAATTTCCATTACTTCTGAATTTGGCCGGCTAGGCAGCTAGGGTCGGCGAAGGTTCTTAATAACCAAGATCTTACCAAGAGCGCAATGTGTACCTTGAGCCAACATGGCCACGGTACCTGAATGGGTTGCCCTGCTGAACGCCCGGGCCGGTCCTTTTGGGTCTCCCTAATCAGCAATCAGGCTTTTGGAGCCTAAATGGAGGCCCAACCACCTAAGTAAGAACTTTCAATCCCTTTATCCGGCCCTAATCCGCTTCGTGTTTGAACCTCCCACAACTCGCCTATTTGTAAAGGAGCTTTCCACAATTCCTTTCGGGCGAATTCCGAAAGTCTCGCTGATTTTTGTTGCAAAAACCCTCGAGTTAAGAACCTTAGCCCCGCTAAGGTTCTTAACTCGAGCGTTTTGGTCGGAGAATGATGTTGGGGACAGTTCAGAATCTGCCCCTTCTCCCCAACAGAGGTGTTGCCAGGCCTCTCAAGCTCAAAAAGGTATTTTTTTGGTGTTGCCAGGCCTCTCTCTGGGGCTCTGGAGCTCGGGGGTTTTAGGATGTGGGTTGCGCAGCTTTATGAATACCAGAAACCTAGCTTCTATGATTCAAGCAGCCTCAAGGGTGTGTAGGGTCGGTTTAGGTGGGAAAGCTGCTCGGGAATCAGGACGCGTGCAACTAATTAACTTGTTCCTATATACCCTAAGCCAACTACAGTGAAAACACTGTACAAGACTGTTTAAGAACCTTAGCCCCTACCCGCGGCGGGATTCACAATAATATTCAGGTTGCTTCGAAATTAAGAACCTTAAGGTACCCTAGTTTTCGGGGTCAGGTTCTTAATTTGTTGGGTTCGTCATGGTTTGGCTTGTTCTGAAAACGCCGGAATTAAGAACCTTAGGGGGGCTCAGGTTCTTAATTTGGCGGTTGGTGGTCAAATTGTTTGATGAGGTGAACCATACAGATATGGCAGAGCCTGCATAGCTCAGTGGTTTGATGCGTGTCCACATCCCCACCTGCAATGGCTCGAGTCCCCTTGTGGTCGGGTTAGTTCACGGGTGCCACTAGTGTTTTCGCAAGTTTCTTACCAGCTCTCACATATGTAGTCTCGCCAGGTTCTCTCCAATTCTCACCAACCAGATTCCCACCAACACTCCCTAAACCCTAAACCCTAAAACCCTAAACCCTAAACCCCTAAACCCTAAACCCTAATCACCAGGTTCTCATCAGTTTTCACGGTTTGCACTGATTCACGCGGCTCCCCAACCATCCTGGCCATCCTGGCCCCCCAAAGGTAGCTTTTTTGAGCTTGAGAGGCCTGGAAACACCAAAAAAGGTACCTTTTTGGAGCTTGCCCTAAAGTCCCCGAAGAAGACTGACTTAGGGCTTATAGGGTTTAGAGTTCAGAGGTTTTGGGTTTAGGGTTTAGGGTCCTATGCCTTGAGTTTAGGGTTTAGAGTTCAGAGGTTTTGGGTTTAGGGTTTAGGGTCACTATGCCTTGAGTTTAGGGCTTCGGGTTAAGGGCCTCCCACCAGGAGGCCTGCGACGAGGTCGTTACGCTGCTTCAGCGTGCCGCGCCGGAGCTTACGGCTTCCGCTTCGATTTTATCTGTCTTGGTTCTACCACGGTCTGATAGCAGTGCAGACTTCGGGCTTTAGGGGTTTCGGATGCAGAACTGAGGAGTTCAGAAGTTGCGAAAAGGCTGTAGGCACGCTTCTAGGGGGTATGATGTGCAAGTGTCTCCCTGCGAGTATCTGCAAAATTCTCGTGCCACGGCAACAGTTGCGAGAGTCCAAAACCGGTTGCCACTGGCCGATTATTGCTGCTGTTGTTGCCATGGCCGTTGCTAAGCACTCTCATTCCGGTGATTCCAGATTGACATGGGGCTAACCCTCAGAACCCTGATATGCAACCCCAAAAAGCCTCAACCCTAACCCCTAAATCCCCTCAAAAAAAAACCCCTAAATCCGAATCCTTAGGGAAAAAATCCGGATCCTAACAAACACTCAGAAAGGAAGCGACCCAGACCTAGGCTTCCGGCGCAGCCCCTCTGCGGAGACTCTGAGCTTGCAGGACGCAGCGGCGCGGGCCGGCTCCTGCCCAAGCAACTATGGTTTCGGGGCTCAGTTGCGGGAACCGAAACTCGTATGTATATATATATATATGCAAATATATATATATATATATTTATTTATTTATATATATATATACATACATACATACATACATACATACATATTATATCATCTTGAATACCTGCTGAAATTCGATGCAGCTTCCATCGAACTCGATCCTCAGAAACTTTTGAAGCCCCCGCCCCAAAGGTCCCGGAGGTGGTCCAGCCCTGAGGCCCTGGAGCCCTAAACACCATTCCAATATAGCTCTCAACCCGAAATCTTGAACCTTCATCATAGGACCCTCATCATAAGACTCATAACCCTTGACAGAACCTTAAATTCTGTCAACACCCCCGGGTCGAAGAGCCTCTTGCTGCCCAGCATCCCTGGCGCGGGAGCTTACCCGAGAGGAAATCCAGGGCCTGCCCCTGGGATCAAAGAAGTTTGAGGGGAGCCGGGGCTGAACATTTCGGGGGAGTCTGGGTTCAAAAAAGGGATGTAGGGAGGCTGGGTTCTGGGTTCAAAGAAAGGGGTTTAGGGGAGTCTGATTTCTTTGAGAGAAAATACAGTATCCATCAGCTCTCTGCTCGGACGAGATAGTTCCAGTTTCTTCCAGAGCTGATCTTCAGAACGTGGGCGGACTTGCTGGCTGACACTTAGAGCCCAGCTGCAACAGAGGTTTAGGGGTTTTAGGGTTTAGGGGTTTAAAATAAGGGGACTCCGGGGTTAGGGAATCTGGCCGGGCGAGCACTAGTCAAGCCCGTGCAAACGAGGGTACGGCTCAAGCCAATTTGGTCGAGCGTAGCTGTGTGATTGAATACTTGGTTGGTCAGAACATTCCCGCTCCAAGCGCTTTCAGGCACGGATGCTTTGCAAGCATTTTATACAACCTGTCCGCAAAATGTGACCTACCTGTTCAGGCACGTGAAGCTGACTTCTATCAACTAACAACCATCTTTGGTCGTTTACTACTACTACTACTACTACTACTACTTCTTCTTCTACTACTATTACTACTACTGCTACCATCACTATCACTATCATCACTACTATCACTACTATCACTACTAACTACTAACCCATTTGTAAGTGCTGGAACCTTAGACTCCAATAGCAACGAAGGATCCGCGGCACCGGCTATGCAGACAGCGCATCATGGCTCAGGTTGCAGAAGGCAAACCCCGAATCCTCTGCCTTAGAGGCGACTAGAAGGGTGCCTATAAGTAATTAGTCGATAAGTATCACAAGGCCAAGGCTTGCAATCAGGGGTACTAGAAGTGTTGGGTCTTGGGTCTAGGGCTTTGCGGTATGATTTGGGCTCAGGTCTAAGGCTGTTTTCAGCTTCGGAATCAGCCAGAACCATTGCCAGTTTCATGTTTTCTTCAAAAACCGCTCCCCCCCAACAGGCATAAACCTTGAATAAGGTTATTGTTATTGTCGATGCTTGCTTTCAATCAAGCGGGGCGGAATGAACACTAGGGGTGCCTTCCCTTAACTAGAACCGCAAACCCCGAGAACGACACCTGCAAAGCCCGAGTAAGTTCAAGGTTCAGCTTTTTAGGATGACGTCGTTGAAAGGCCTGGACGTTAATTAGATGCTTTGGGTTTGATTTTTGGGCTCTCTGCCTCATGTTCTCATTTTGTAGCTATATCGTCTTCAAGTTTGTTTCCTCATGCCTGCGTGTTCTCTTCTTTGTTCAGGAGTACTCTCTGCATGAGGTTGGCGTGCCTTGCGTAAACCTGACATTGTTTTATGCTCTCCTCAGCTTCAGGGGGAGCCAGTTGGCAGGGCACGCACGCACAGAGATAGGACGGGGGAACGTCGTCCTCGTCGTCACAGAAGAGAACCCCCTAGCACCGCCAGCAGAAGAAGAACCGGAGGGGCGAACTCAAAAAAGATCGCTGTCCGTCACACGTCTATGGCCTGTCGCACTCCAGAAGGGTTCAAGGCGCAGCCTCCCACTTCAGTTGTTTCCTTTGCTTGGGGTTTAGGGGTTTAGGGGTGTAGGGTTTAGGGTTTAGGGCACATCTCTAAGCCCTAAACCCTAAACCTCTAGAGG